GTGTCCAGTAAACACATAAAAATATGTAAATCTAACAAAAGTTTTTTATTTCTGGAAAAATTATGCAAATTTTAATCGCTGTTTAATAACAAAGCATCACTACGTGAGTAGATTTTTTTTCACACTTAATTTTATTTTTTTTTATCAGCACTTGCTTGCTTAAATTCACAGATTCACACCAATATCCACACACGAAGCTTCTTAGAAGGTCTTCGTTTTTATCAAATCGAGTTTGTAGAGTACACACGGTACATATGTAAACATAAGAAGACGTTGAAACTGGGTCATCGAAAGTTCATGCCACACAAATCATAAAATTTATTTTTTTAAATGTAAATGGCAACAGTTGCAGACGAGGTTTTATTCTCAATTTTTATATACTTTTTGGAACTGATTCTCGTGAACAAAATTCAAGGTGCCTTGAAATTTTTTTTTTATTTGTCAGCGCCTGGCTTGAAAAACTTCTCTCACAAAAAGTCAAAATTAATATTTTTTCAAGCGATTGCGCGATTTACGACAACTGCTGTTGAATGAGCGACGAGCGAAAAAGAACTGATCGTATGAAACACATTTATGATCACTTTTACAGTTGTTTTTATTTCTCTTCATTTTTTTTCTTCTGTGTACGAGCTATTAAACTCATAGAGCTTGCTTATTTGTGTACTTTTTCTGCTCAGCTCTCTCAATTTTTTTTCTTGTAATTTTTTCATAAGCACTTTTACTGTTGTGTACGGTTCTATATTGCTTATTCTGATATTAAATATTAATGTGAGAAAATAACAACAGAGAAGTAATTTTAGATCCTTTGAGTGGGGTATGGACGCATTTGTATGGACCTTGAGAGAATTTTAATCAACTTGACGATAAACTTGAGAGAATTTTGATCAACTTGATAAAGTTTAAGTCAACTTGACAGAGGTTTGATCAACTTGATATAGTTTGATCAACTTGATAGAGTTGTTATAAACTTGAAAAAGTTTTAGTCAACTTGATAGAGTTTTGATCAACTTGATAGAGTTTTAATCAACTTGATAGAGTTCTAATCAACTTGATAGAGTTCTAATCAACTTGATAGAGTTTTGATCAACTTGATATAGTTTTTTTCAACTTGATAGAGTTGATGCAATTTGAGATAAATTTATTTAATAGACAAAATGAGTCAAAGTCACTTAATTTCAAGCTATATTCTAAAAGAGCACCAATCAAGCTACCAAGAGAGAAATAAAGAGAATTAAAACGCAACATTTAATTCACAGCAATGCTCAACCGTTACAAAACATTAATATCCGAGTAATAATAAACTGTTTCTATTGTCAATAAAGCCACCTCTGCTGGCATTGGCATTGTGTTTTTTGTCTTAAAATAACCCGTACGCTAGAGAATAACCGCTGCTAAAAATATAACTTATTTTTTCTTTAATTCACGACAGCTGATAGAGGTGATTATTTTAATTACTAATATTAAATGAAGAGTTTGTCGCCACGATTTTAATTTTTTTTTGCTAGGAGCTAGCTATATTTTGAGGGGTTTCATTGCTGAGTTTAAAAAAGTTTATTCTTTCAAAAATGTAACTTAATTGATATGTAGGCATCTTAATCTTATTATAATATAAATCTTAATTTGCTGTGGTATCGGTAATAAGTGAAATCTAGGGTATCGAGACAAGTATAGGCGTATCTTCAAGCTTTAAAAAAAGGCTTCTTTAGAAAAACAATGATATGCAATATTTTCTTTTGTAAGAGTTTAAGTTCAATTTCTACCAGAGAGCAAATTCTCATTAATTATAAAAATGTCGTCGATATGGTAAGGATGTTACTTAAAATGTTTCAGCTTTACAAATGATTGAATTTCTCTCGCAAATAATAAAACTTACTAAAGTTAATCCATAAAATAGATCACATGATATTAATCAGAGTTGTCAGATAGGTCCCTTTAGTAAGATGCCTCACCAGAGCATGGTAGCTTTTGCCTTTGTCCAGGCAACATATATGTACAGGAATGTCTAGCCAAAGGCAAAAAAATGTGCCTAGTCGAAGGCAATACCTAGCCAAAAACACTACCTAGAAATAGTCAATATTTTTTGCCTATGCCTGGGCACTGCCTATCCTAGGCAAGCCTTTACCTAGTCAAAACCTTTATTATTAATTTTTCAAACAAAAACAGGCACATGAATAGGGTTACCATCTAATTTTCATGAAAATACAGGACTTTTGGTAAATTTTTTCGAAAAATACAGGACATAGAGTAAAATTCAAAAATTAACGGAAATTTTCGTGAAAAAAAATACAGGACCTGGAACAAAGTTTTCAAATTTATACAGGACAGGGTTTTGAAATACAGGACTGTCCGTTGTAAAACTACGCAGATGGTCACCCTACACATGAATCTAATCTAGGTTTTGCTTAGTCAAAGGCATGACAATTAGACAATTATTAGGGATAGGTATAAGGCTAGAGGGCGCTATATGTCAAAAAAACTCTTAACTGCATTAATTTAAAACCAAAATTAAATCTATTTCTACTCAATTTTAGTTTGCTTTGAAAATAACAATATTCTTCTGCTTAGTGACAACTTCTTTTGCTATAACAAATTTCACCAGTTTTTGAAATATTTCATACCTTTATAAACCTTTCACTTAACTCTCTAGAGTTCTGTGAATTAATAAAATTGAGTGCTTCTGATTAACACTTTTATTAAATTACAACTTTATGTAATCATAAGAAATAGATTGTATCCGTGTCATTGACTCATACAAAATCGTGATTGTATTTCCTTTAAACTTTACTTAATAGATGTAAAAATAGAAAAAAAAACTCGTAATTGAAGGGAACTTTCGAGTCAACAGGTGTCTAAAATTAGTTTAAATTTGGTCGTGAAGTTTTAGTTTTTATGGGGATTTTGACATCTTGATGAATCCCGAATAGCACATATCGGTTAATCGAATAGAAATCTGGCGTCAAGCTGGCATGACTCTGGGATGGTACTGGCTTCGATTTAAATCCAGCACTTAAATCCAGTCGGATTTCTGATCGATTAACCGATTTGTGCCATTCGGCAATAGAATGATCAAATACCCTCAAAAAAGGAATGAATCTTGTTTAAACCGAATCAAAACTTTGAAAATATCTCAAAAATCAAATTTATTATCAACCTTAAAAATTCTCACTTTCTCTAAGGAAATGACCCCTAAAACTTTTCAATTTCACTTTCAAAATCATCTTTTGAAGTTCATTTATATTATTTTTATTACTTCCTTTAATAACACATTGACTCATTCTCTCACTAGAATTCAAATCTACAGACATACAACTCACTCTCATTCTCTCAGTAAACATGCTTGTTGATGCGTTGAATTATTCATTTAAATGTTTTATTTTCGGCACTCATTAAATGCTATTTTCGAGACAATTTTTATATTATAGTAGAGCGACGAATAAAAAAATAAAGTTGGTAGAATTATTCTGAATATTTAATTTTGAGCAGTGATGACACTTTTTTGTGACATAAAAAAATGCAAATGTCAATTTCATGAGATGCCTTCGTCTCGGTTCTTACTCTTACTTGTTTATGGATTTTTTTTTGGTGATGAGTCGCGAAGATGAAATTTATATGAATTATATTTTTTGTGAAATGATTTATCTTCATCTTCATGCTCATTTTTAATAAATTTTGGATCTTTAGAGAATGAAAAGCTATTTTTCAAAAAAGGCTGAAGAAGATTTATTTGGATGTAGATTTGATGACGCGAAGGAATTATTATCCAGGGGGTCTCTAGTGTCTTTGTCTTGACATATTCTTGGGATCTTGCTGTTGCTCACAATCTCAGTCCTAATTTTTTACTAATCTGGAAATCATATGTGAGGGAACTGGGTAAGTCTATGGCTAAAGTTTGACTATAGTTTGGCAGTTTTAGATTTCCTTAAATTATGTTCAAGATCATACGACCCATTTTAGATATGTCAACAAGAACGCAGCTGAACTTTACTGACACAATTTATAAAAACCTTCAAAAACCTTGCAAAAACCACAAAATTGTCATTCAAAACCTCATCTAGATCTCCCCAAAATATTTCAAAACAATAACACAATTAGCTGACATGTGGAGAGGCTAGTTAAGGATTTATTTGTAAATAAAATAAAAAAAGTCTCATAAATTAATCATATGATTGCCTCACAAGAGAATCTCGTTCTTCTTCTTATTAACACAAATATTTTTTGATAAGCGCGAATGTGTCGAAAACAACCTTGATATTGCTCGCACATGCCTCTCTGAAAATAATTTCCTCACTTCATTGTGACGAATAGTAAACAAAAAAAAAATGTGAATTTGAAATTAAAGACAAATTCTTAAAAATGAGAAGAGAATCTCTCAATTGTCACATGACTTGAATCATGTACACGATGTATTTTAGAGCAGTTATCTCATGACGCTGATAATGGATGTCAGGGAAATAATAAAACTGGTGCAATAAAATTGTTCTTGGAATGTTCAGCTATGAATTGTATTTATCATGTGATAAGCGAGATAAGCTTATGAGAGAATGAGCAATTGTTGATGTTTTTTGTGATTTTTTGAGGTGACCCTCTTGTTGTAGATGCTGTTTATAAGAATTAATTGGTCATTGGACTTTTTCAATCTGATAAATTTTTGCGATTAGGAATCATCAAATAAGAGGAGTGTTCTCATCCCTCTCAGGAAAGAATCAATAATCTTGACCATTTTCATGCTCCAAAACACACGTGTTAACTTGATAAAACCATCTCTATTAGCTTAAAAAATTAATAAATCACTGAAAGCATTAGTTTTAATAATTTTCCGTTGAAAACTTATCACATGTCTTCAAGTTATAAAAATATCCAGAAAATTTAATTGACAAGTTAAAAATGATATTTAATTAGCACATTCTGAGCAGATTCAACGTTGTAAACATTTAATTAACAAGTTTATTAATAGAATTCATGTAGATAAGAATTGGAAACTCAATATTTACAAGACTCACTGAAATCAGTCAATTCCATCATCATTGTACCCGTTCTTGTGTAGCTTATATATTCCACTGAAAACCAACAACAGCTTTAACATACAAAATCAATATTTTTGCTAGACAAAAATATTGCGTATAAAAAAGTCTTACGCACTTTATTAAAATCACTTTTTTGAATCAAGTTTTTTTGAATTTTTCAACCAATCTTTGAAATGTTTTGTATTTCTTTTTAGAAAACCTTAAAAAGGCATTTTTGTCGTCTGCTATCCGTCTACAAATAAGTCTCGGTTTATACTAATTAATCAACGCTCTTTAGACAATCAGCAAGATTCATTCTTATCAACCACATTTTAATAACGCAAAAGACACATTTTTTTATAATTATTGTAAACAGAGTTGATGCTTTTTAGCAGCGTGACTTAAAGATCCAGAGGGTTGAAACTTATTTCTATTGAAAAACTCTAGCAAAATCAAAGAATTTTACTTGTCTCATAATTCAAAAGCGATAGGACTGGAGTGGCGGGGGGGTTTAACAATTAAATTAATCAATAAAAAACCAATTTTCAGCCGTTGTAAGGGTTAATAAGTTATAAAGTCAGACAATGAGCTGAAGTAGCTCGGTGGTGAAATGGTTTAGTACTTCGGTACCTAATTGTTGCAATATTGACATAGCGATCATGGGTTCAAGACTCGGGATGGGAAATTTTTTACTTGTCCTTTTTCGAATCATATGGACTAGAGATGAGGCTCAAAGCTTTCGTTTGTTTAAGGCAAAAATGGCATAAGAGGAGTGGTTCGGATTCTACTATAAATTCTTAGCTCTAGGTTTGAGAGGAAGTTCTTGCGAACGAGAGGGTTCCACTATCATTACTATGCACTAACAAAGGAGTATGAGTTTGGCTATTTGTTTAGGTTTTATATCACTAGGTTTAACTTATAGTAGAGTCTCATGATCTAGCATTAAACATGTCATAAAGTATGACGTAAAAATCACAGTTCAGGGTCATTTATTCAGGATGGGTCTATAAAAATATCATACCAGATGGAACACCAACTCTGCGTTCATCACAACAATAAAAATAAATTAAGAATATTTATAAAGCAACTAAAACACACACATTTGCATTAATAATCAGGCACATTAGTAATTTTCGAGATCAGTGAATCTTTGTTCTTGCGAAGTCAATGATTTCGTGATTTCTTCAACTGCTCTTATCAGTTAAATAACTGTGACTATTATTTCATTATTGTGCGACATAATATAAAGGCGTGAGGTCAGACACTCTTAATGAGATTCGCGCGAATGTTGATTGAAGACGAAAGTGTAACGATGATTTATTAAGTTTGCAAACTAGAAAGAGGGCAGTTGTGAGTTATTGAGAAGTTGTTTATATTTTGTAAATATTTAAAGTTGTTTATAAAACATTTGTGTCGTTAGAAAATTATGTCACATGTAAGATGATGACTTTGTTGTCACTTTATATGATAGACAATGTTTTCTATAGAATCAAGAAACTGTTATAGACAAATTTGCATTTGATTATCAAGTTTCTGGTTCAGAGGTTTTTAAACTGGTTGAAAATCAGTTTTACGTTGTAGTAAGATTATTATTTTGGTGTCTATTTTTAGATTTTATCAGCAACAAGAGATAAGATTAGGGTTGAATAAAAATATAGAAGCACAAAAACTTGTTAAATGGACCATTTTGAATTTAATTGCCTTAAAAAATTGTCATTTTATTCAATTGAATATTAAGAATTTTTATTAACCCCTCAAAAATCCTACATAAATCCTTAAACCCAAGAATTTATCTTTTCCTCAAAAATCTCTTTTTCCAAATTCCATTCAATTCCATTTCCACCCCATAGTCACTCATGCAGCTCATCGCGAGAAAAAAGCTTCATTTATTTACAAAGAAACGCAAACCACAAAACTCAATTATTTAATTTTTATTTGATAATTTACAAAGCTCCATCATAATTAAAACAAAAAAAGGAGGGAAAATTCAATTCAGATACAAATTGCTGTACGACAATAAAATGCGGAAAAAGGCGAGAAACGCACGAAGTCAAGAAAAAGAAATCTTGAAAATTGACTTTGCATAATGAGAGACGTGAAGTTGAGAACAAAATGAAATGTTGAGGATTTTTTTTGTGTAATTTTTTTGGGGTTGGGGACGGAAACTTTAAAGAGTTGTGTAATTAAAAGAAGAAAAGAAAAGTGTAGGAAGAATAAGTGGGGGGAGGGTGGGCTCTTGTCTGTAGTCTTCGAAAAAAATTTCGAAATTTTTAAAAATGGAATCTAGTAAAATTATATCAACATTTGGGTATTCTTAGTTTTGTAAAACAAGATTTTAAAATTTTTATCAGATTTTTGGAACAATTTGAGAAAGTTTTCAAAAATTTGATTTTTAAAATTGTGCTGCAAAGTTCCTCAAATTCCAAAACTGTACCCTCATCCTCCTTGAGAGCAAAATATACCCCCATACTTACTACAATGTACATTCTCTGCAGATATTCCACATTGTATGTTCTTCATATTTAAAGAGAAAGAAAAGCAGAAAAAAACTCATGAAACAAATAATGAATAAAAAGACAGAAATGGTTGATGAAAAGGAGGAAGAAAAAGTTTATTTGCTATCTGCGTTACTCCTTCACAAGAGCAAGCAAAACGAAAAGATGTTCCTTTTATTTTCTTAAAGATAAGAAATACAAACGAAATAATTTTTAATTACAAGAAAATTCTATAATGAAAATATTTAATTAGCTATTGCTTCACTTGTTCCAATTCATGTTTAGTCTTCCCCAATTTTTATTTTATTGTTGTGTCTTCCTCCTCGTGATTTTCAAAAATAAAAATTGAATTCAATAAACAAACAATTAAATTAGCATGTCGCTTTTGGTGAGTCGTGATTTCTGTTGTTATTGTTTGGTGGATAAAATTAGAATATTTTTTGTTATCATTTGATGCGGGTGGGGTTATTGACTTTCAGAACTTGGAGGAAGTTTAAATAAACTTTTTCTAAAATTTATGGCATTTGAACTTTAAAAATTGATGAGAATTTAATTTATCAATTATTCAAATTTTAATTGATTTTGATCAGTTTTTGCGACTTTGAGTTTCAAACTTTGTATTTTTGAGTCAATATCTGGAATTTGACCTACATTTGGAAAGACAATGTTTTATTGCTGTTTTTAAATGTTTTGTTTTCAATCATTTTTGGTTTTTGATTATCAGGATGATGATCAAGGGCGCAGCTAAGATGTTTTGTGCTCAAAGTCTTGATTACAATCTCCTTGCTGCTCCACTGTTCATAAAGTTTGAGTTTGAAGTTGCAATTGCCTTTAAAACTCTGTTGCCATGTAAATAATACAATAATAAACTTTTTGTTTCCTATTTCAAGAGTAATTGGGGATCAAAAAGTGCAGAATTGATCAAAATAGTAAAATATTATTTCAAACTGTTTTGAATCCTTGCTTGGGGCTTCCTGTCTATTCAGAATCATGTCAATTCATACTCTAGAGTACAAAACATCAATTTTTTAATTCTATCTAAAGAAACGACCACAGATAACCCTACAAACTGGTCACAGAGACAAAATATAATAAAATAAAATTAAGTAGGGATGTGTTGAAGTTCAATTCCCAATAGAACAAAATAAAACAAACCAATCACAAAGGATCAAACCCAAGTTTTAAGCATTTGAAAACTCTTACCTCTTCATTTGTGCTGCTACACTCAAACACAACAACTTCTTAATAAACAAAATCCCAACTGCTCTAGAAAATTCTATGAATTACCTAAATCCAAGCAACAACTCATGTCACACATCTCCCTCATTACCTCCTTCCTATCCACAAACTCTTCAAAAAGAAAAAGAAAATAAAAGAAAAAATCCACAAAATATTTAATTTAATGAAAAATTCTCTCAATTTATTTCATTTCATTCCAGGAACAAAAAGAAAAATGAAGGATCATGTTCTGTTCATAATCATCATCAAAAGCAGCAGCAGTAAACGATGAGAATCATCCTTCATGTAAGTGAAATAAATGATTATGATTATCAAGAATTATTAATAATTTCAACTCCATTCATCCATCAAGTGCAACTTCTACTTTTAGTTGAAGGGGGAAATTTTTATCCCCTTTTTTTTTTACAGATTTTCATAATTTTTCCCTTTTTCTAAATTTCTATTTCAAGTACACCGAAAGCGAGAGGAAAATCTCATTAAAGCTCATAATTCCTAAACGTACAATTAAGTGTTCCACCGTGAGTTTGTCTGTGGCTTTCATCTAAACCTTTTATTTTATTGTTTCATTTTCACAAAAGAAGAGAAAAATTGTCGACAGGTTTTGCTTAAGATTTCTTATAGTTTAATTATAGTATACCGCATTGAAATGTGCAGAGTTTCTGTTTGAGGTTTTCTCCTCAGTTTCTTTTTGAAGAATTTGTGAGATAAAGGAGGGAAATAGGAAGTAGAAAATGAAAAGGGGAACTGAAATCGAGGTTTGCAGTAACATTTGGAAGAGCATGAAACACCTTCCAGTGGAAATTTTGTGCAGTTTGATTAATATTAAGTTGAGCGTGCGATTTAGGGGTGGAAAAATCATTTTTTAAATTAAATAGTTTTAAAATTTAAAAAAAAAATTAAAATCAATTTAAAAATCTGAAAATAAAATTTCAAATTATTCCTAACCTCCAATATCCACGCTCACATTTATTTTCAATGTTTCCATCCCCTTCATTTTCTCAACCAAACAGCCACCATAAATCATTTCTTAAGTTTTCATACAAAACTGCTAAATACAATTTGCCGGTGTAAATCTATTCCACTTTCATTATTCTTCCTTCTTTCATCCCCACAATTCTTAGTAAGGAAATTAAACATTTTGAAGATTATACATGTGATGCATTTCAATTCAGTTGGAAAAAGGAAAAACTATCAAGTACTTGGAAAAGAAATGAAGCTCTTGTACGTGAAATGGAGGTAAATTAAAGTTTGTTTTTGGTGGATGTACTTGAATGCACGTGAGGAAATTGGATCTTTTGTTGAAAGTTTGGAGATGTTGTCTGTGAAAATTGCATAAAATGGATTTTTAGACTTTCAATTCTTATTTTTGTACTTTTTTGAATTTTCATTTTTTTTAACTTTTACACAAATTTTAGAAAAATAAAAAAAAATTAAAACTTTTTTATGCTTTTTAAATCAAAACTTTTGAATATTTAACATTAATCCAACAATATTTCATAAAAC